TGTTAGCAAGCAGAGTTGTTCAGACTAAGGCGAAAGGACACACAGTACAGAGAGCTGTGGTTAAGGGTTGCCCACAAGATTGGGTACTCTCACCGCTTCTCTGGTGCTTAATAGTTGATGATCTCATTCGTGAGTTAAATAATAAATATCTCTTCACAGTTGGTTACGCAGACGACGTGGCTATCTTGTTAAGAGGTAAACCTGACAATTTTCTTTGTTACAGAATGCAACAGGCACTTAAACTTGTTGAACGATGGTGTGAAGAACATACCCTTTCTGTCAATCCTAAAAAGACAGAGACTGTTCTCTTCACTAAACAGAAGAAACTGGGACACTTAACGCCACCCAATTACTGCAATAATCCATTAACCTTTGCTCCAGAGGTGAAATATCTGGGTGTTATCTTGGACAAAGGACTAACTTGGACATCACACATTAGTTGCAAAATCAAAAAAGCAACGATTGTACTGACCCAGTGCCGAAGGGCTATTGGGAATACTTGGGGATTAAATCCGAAAGTTACAATGTGGATCTACACTTCTGTGATAAGACCCATGGTAGCTCACGGAGCCATAGTCTGGTGCTCAGCACTAAAACATGCATATAAAGCTACATTGCTGCATCAATTGCAACGACTGGCCTGCCTGCTAATCACAGGCGCTATGAGATCTACACCTACGATTGCAATGGAGACTATGTTAAACGTGCTGCCCCTAGATATTTTTATCAGGGAGGTGGCCGTGATGGCATTGCTTCGGTTGCGATCAGTAAATGAAAAGCAGGTTGTTAAAATGGGAATAGTCCGGAGCAAGCTCTGGAGTGAGGCTGTTAGTAAACAACCCCTCCTTAAAGCTCGCACAGACTACATTACACCTACTTTCTTAGGCAAGCCACACTTTGGCATTGAAACGATACCCCAGAGCAACTCAAGCTCGGGCAAAACGCTGACCATCTACACTGATGGATCAAAGAAGGCTGGAGGTTCCGGAGCGGGAATCTTCTCGCACGATCTCCAGCTGCACCTTTCCACTTCGTTAGGATCGTATTGCACGACTGCTCAAGCCGAATTAATTGCTATAAACATAGCAGCCGATGCGATTATCGACTCCAAAAAAGTCGGCAGAAACGTTGTAATCTGTACTGATAGCAGACAGGCTATGCTGGCGGTTGGCAGGCATCATACTGCATCATCGTTGGTGAAGTCCTGTCGGCAATCACTCGAAGAGGCAAACGTATACAACAACGTCACGATAAAATGGCGAAAAGGACACATCGGAATTAAAGGACATGATCATGCGGACAGGTTGGCGAAACGGGCGGCTAACAAGTCACCGATCTCCCCTGAACCGTTTGTACCACTAGCTGTTAATACAGCATCAAAACTGATAAACTCCATCTCCCACCGAGCTTTTTGCGATAGATGGGATGGGACAGCAGTAGGTGCCTTTGCTAAGAAAACTCTGCTCTACCCTGACCGGAAGACATCTACTCAGTTTCTGGGAAAATCGAAAAGTGACTTGAGGCTTCTCACCCACTTCCTGACCGGACACTGCAGGTTACGTAAGCACATGTTTTACATGAAGCTGGCGAATACACCCCTCTGTAGAGGGTGTGAAATGGAAGACGAGACGGTAAGTCATATTGTTTGTGACTGTCCAAACCTCGTGTACTTAAGGGAATCTATTTTCGGAGTACCATGGCTCCAAATTTCGGATATAAGGAACATACCTTTCTGTTCTATATTAACGTTCATGAAAAGATTGGGCTGGTTTTCTGACCCTTGAATGAACAGTAAATTGTGAGGACGTACAAAGGGTCCGCTGGGGCCTAAGTGCTGTGAGTAACTCACCCCCACGTGAAACTACATACATACATAGTCAAAAAGTTTTTTGATCCTTTCTTTTTGTTCCTATTTTGTGGTGGTATTTTTTCTCCCATAATACCCCGTGTACTCTGCGGGTATTACGTGTTGCGTTGAAAGCTTTCTGCTACACCCAATAACTCATAAAATTAGGGTCAAGATGGATTTTTCATTTTGACATATATTTTTGGTGTTATTGTTGCGAAATGGGAATATTATAACACTCCGGGGAGTATTTCCAATCTGTGTTATGTTCATTTTTTGAAGTATTGACATTTAAATATTGGTAGAGACCGCGGGGACAAGTTTTAATGGAGTCGTAACAAATATCAACCCAACCTTTTCATTTGAGCTTCGTATTTTCGACAAATAATACGTTTAACTCGATGGAAACATTATTAAAGATACAAATATCTACCAAATTATATGAAACTTACAAAGGAAAAATTTAAAAATACTATATTTTTAAATAAGCTATTGTAATTTATATCGCATGCAAACTGTTTATATAATATGTATCTTGTAAACATATTTTCCAAGTTTTAACATCGACCAGTTGGTGCTTACGTAATCAAGTAAACGTTTAGGTTGGCGAGCTGAGGATGTAGCTGCGTGACGAGAAACCAATTTGCACAGTGCAAACACATCAATAAAGCGATGGGACGTGTAGTTGTTTGATTCTTGGTTGGAATGATCGATTAGAAACATTAATAATTGTTACATCCTTCCTGATTTGTACCCAACCCAACTTTATAATTATCGATTCTAAAATGAGCTTTTTGTTTATGTTATAAACTGAAGGAAACTTTCCCAAATACCGAGAAAACTGTTGCGATTGTTATTTAGAACAATTCAGTTTGGTCCATCAAAACAAGTTTGGTTGGAAATGGTCCAGGCGAGGAAACTTAATGTGGGTTTCGAGTTTTGCAAAAAAAATCAATAAATTTCAACTTTAATTAAATCGTCGTTGAGCACGATAAGTTCCGAGTTTGTTAAGTGTAGTTGGAGAACGAAAGAACACAAACCAATTGAATATTTAATTGAATAGTAAACTCGAGGTATTAATTTCAAAAAGTAGAACCGCAGAATTAAATTCCCCTAGGAAATTGGTGGAAAACGTATTAATGTATAAACACGCCTTAAAGATTAATTACAATCTTAAATGTAATTTGTGTTTTGAATAGATTTCATAATCTATAAGCTTTTAAAGGTCTTGTCTTTTTTTTCATGATTTTACAAGCTTTTAAAATCACCATAATATTAACTTAAACCGCTGGAGTAACAAGATGTTATAACAGTTAAGGAGAAAACTGGGTCACGGTATAAAATGCCAATATCCTTTCATCTTGTCCCTATAATATCAATGATTTAATTTAGTTTAGAAATTAAAAAGCTTTTTCTAAAAACATTTACAATTTCTATCATAAATTAATTAACGTTACCAGGAAAATTTTATCAATTTGATCAACTCGATATACAACATTTCGCAATATATATTGATTACTGCATAATGCGAGCAAAACGTAAAATCACAATTTCCAACTATTTACAATAGTGCTACATTCCCAGAAACAAAGGTGAGTTGCCCATTTCGCAGAATTACGACAATACCATGAAATGGCATATTGATGTTGTAAACATTAAATTTCGAAAATTTCGAAAAACTGCACTTTAACTAGGAATTCTATATATTTTATTTAAAAAAAGAAAATAGTTTCTTTGTTTTTGTTAAACCGAAATGTTTTGCTTTATGAAAAACTATAAAAAAATAAAAAATGTAACAAAAATAATATGAATGATATGAATGTAGTACAGCATTCATCAAACGATTTCATTTAGTACCAAATTCGTGAAAAGCGAAATGCAAATAACAAATTTATAGCGTTTTTGCCTGATGTGTAGTTTATTTCGCATATACGAGAAAATAAAAATAATTAGATTTTGAATTGATTTCTATCGCTTATTGATTGATTAAATTTTGATTTATCAATTTTGAATTAATTACTCGAACATTATAAATGTAGAAGTTTCGCTGACGTTTGGCATTTGGAGAGGTTGAGCTGTTGGATTCATTAATGACTTAATAATTCTACTTCATCTTATAATTTCACCGTAAATTAAGGTTAAACAATACGAAATTATCACATTTTAATAAATCTATAAATATTAATAGTGGAACGAATTTCAATAATGCATGTTCAAATCATCTTGTAGAGGTGTATTCTAATTAAGAACCATGAAATATGAAATTTTAATTTTAAGCTACGCCGCGAGCTTTTCTCTTGAGTATAACGCATACACAACGATTAATTAACAACAAACAACTACAGTTTTAATTAAAAGTGGACTTTGTTCATACTTAATTTGAACACAAATTTTATAGGAGAATAATAACTAAATAAAATTTAAATTTAATTTAAATTAAACTATTAACATGTATTGTGGGATTAATATTACAGAGACATTACAACATTAAAATTATCGTATAATATTTTAAATTAATTTAATGTGATATTGTTATTAAATTACATAAATTAAAATTGCTTCATAAATTTTAAACAATCCTATTTCAGGAACGAATGGAGATATCATCATTAAATAAAGAACATTTTAAAGGAAATTTGATGAAGATTTCTGGAAATAATGTCTTATTTAATATTATTACAACCCTAATGTTTTTGATCTTACGATAGGTTCATTACGATTTGAACTGTTTAGACTGGAAACTTCGCTTATTTTTCAGTGTTTAAATTTTACAACACGTTTTGTTTATTTAGTGTGACTTGTATATCTTTATGTTTAAATAGAATTCTTGCGTTTGAAAAACAATAAAAATTTAACCCGATATATACTATTTCACAAACTTAAAACAAACTTTAAAATACACCAAGTTTAACCCAAAAAGGGAATTTATATAGATATATTAGTGTGCTAATTACACTTAAGTGCTACAAATATTCGCCTTTAAGTACTACTAAATACTCGTTTATCTTTCAACTTGAGAACTTTACGATTAATTCTTATTTAACTTTGGGAGTTTCTGTAATTTTGAGAGTGAAATTGCTTATAAATACATATTTATTGCTACCCATCTGTTTGGTTGTAAACTAAGCTTTGATGAACAATTCATAATTCTTACCTTTTTATTTCTGTTCCACTTTTAATCTATTTATAATTTACATCATATTATTATGATAGTTACAAAGTTATCACATTCACTTAGTTAAATAACACAAATTGAAATTATTCAAACAAAATTTTTATGAAATGTAAAAAATATTGTAACGTAAATTAAGAAGCGGTTTCTTTGCGGGGTTCTGAAACTCTGAAACCGGCGACTTCAGCGATTACTAAACAGCGACTATGAAGAGAGTTGTTTCGAAGGTGGCATGCTTTTCGGTGAATGCGCATGCGTTTAACTTCAAACAGAAATTTTATGTCAACAGATGAACATAATAATGCTCCCTTTATTTCATTTGGACAATTTAAGGGCTGTATTTGTTTCATATCTCTTTTCTATTTACATTTACAGTATAAGTTTAAAATTGTTATTTGAAGTAATGCAATATGTCCGTTTTCATTAAAAAATGATTTATTTTCTAGGTGGATGTAAAAGTTATGTTGTTGGGTGTCAGTTTCTGAAAAGAAATGTGATACCATGGGGTTATGTTATATAAAATTTGCTTTACTCGGTCGTGTTATAACAAAATATCATATAAGATAGAATAAAAAGTTTCCTGTTACGCAATTATGTATTTATCACATACGAATTAGCAAAATTGTTTTGTTTGAAGGTCTTAATTTTAGTTTCTCGACGTTAAGTTTTACCTAAAAGGACTTCTGTCGAGTCGCTGAGAATTTCCATTCCTTCAGTAGTACACTCGGGATTTGATAAGCAACCTTCCGGCGGTTTGAAACTTTATAGCAAAATGTTCCGTCTTTCTAGCTGCGAGATAGTAAAATAAAACGAGAAAGACGCTTTAGAAAACACCTTGTTGTCACCCGAAAGTTGCGCTTCGTCGAATATGATTGATGGCGAAAAATTATCACGTCAATATTGAACGTTGATAAACCATTGGGTCTTGTTCAGATAAAAATGGCACTCGACCTGATGGTTGCATGACGTCTCAATATTCAAATAAGTAATAAATTTAATTATAACGTGGATCACATGGATTACTAATAAAACATAATTTTGCAAATGTTTTTTTATTTAAAAAACTTCTCTAATTTATTATTGATGAAAATGAGCGTTATTGAGAATTGAATCATGATTACTTTTGATTACTAATCCAAGTTAAACACAAGTGGCATTATGTCGGATGTGTTTGATGTCTTCCCCTCTGACCATCTGGCTCATCGGTTTCTTTTGAAGTAACCGTTTACGATATAGTTCACGTTCACACAAAGCCCTCTCGAGTAATGTATACGCCTATTAGCGATAAAGAGTGTTTAACATCTATAAAGCGGTATAGGATATTGATTTTTTGTGGAATAATTATAAAAATAATGTTTTCGTGATTTACTAAATTATTAAGTAAAGCTTTTTGATAACAGTTTACCATATCCAAACTGGTTCATAGTTGAAATACGTCAAACGCAGATGTAACCACTTTACATGTTTGATAATAATTATAGATATAAAATATAAACTTTAAAGAATCGTGTCTCAAGAACGAATGGAGATATCATCACGATATAAAATACATTTTCAAATATTAGTAAATAATAAAAGGATTGCGTCATATTGTTCCATCAAATACAAAACTACTGGAAAATCTAATTCAAAGTGTTTCCTAATAGCGTACGGTTTATAGTTCTATCTGGCTTTCCCAAAGAAAATGAATGGAAAATAAGAATGTAAATCAACGTTTTATAAGTAAACATCCCTCCTTTTACATAAATATTTTCCATTCGATCGATAGCGCACCGTGAAATTTCTTGTGAATTGTTTACGTTTTATTTAAAAATACGCAAATAAGGTGTTTGGGGAATACCTACCCACGTTAAACTTGATTTTTTGAATATTTCCATTAAAATGTGGAGTTAATATCACTAGTTATGTTAATTAATATAACTTTGATCATCGAGGAATGTTTTCATAAAGGTATTTCATGCTGGTTTGAGGTTTAATGAAACGTATATAATCTGAAACATTCGTAATGATAAAATCAATACTTAATTTTGAATGGTTTCAGTTTATAAATTCAATTGAAATATTACTAACATTATTCGTTAAGATAACAAAATGTCACATACAAATTTATAGAGATAAAGTAGGGAAAGGTTTAACTTATATATACGCTTTTTTATACTTATAGCGAATCCACACAAGATCGAAAACAATTTATTTATATCGACAGTTATAGCTCAATTTTCTAAAATATGTTACCGAGAAGAGCTTTTCCATAATCTAATATTCACCGAAGGAACAAGGATATGTTTTTTTACCACGAAAAAAAAAGCGTTTGAACGATGTCTTTAAGAATTACATCTAAAGGAGCACATTCTACTCGTATATAGTCTCGGGAGATTTGCGAAACTTCCATACGGAATTGAATCGACTTCAAAGACCGTTTCCTTTGCTCTTGACGTTTGCAAATCTTGTAGGATACTTATTGAAATACCATCATGATAGTAGATTTTGTTACTTCGATTTATTATCGTACTGTATATACATTAATTAATCACCGTGTTATTTTTTTAGATTTATCAAAATATCCGAGAGTACATAATGATAGATTTGAAAATAGCGTGGTTCGATTTAGAAACCGATAATATTTAATATTTAGGCCAATTTTCCCTTAATTGATCGTTAACATTGTAAATTTGTTTACATAAATAACATGTTTACATCGACTTTGCGCCAAATTATTTTATACTTACGAAACTATTTGGTTCAGTAACAAACTATTCAGTTGTTGGTAAACATTTCCTTTGTAGTATTTGTATGTTTGTCCAACTAAATGCGAACGTCACGTACATTTCCACGTGTCAACAATTGCCGTCATTTTCAAGCTTCGTATGTTTTCATCGATCCTTTTCGGCGAAGTGTAATAAACTCTTAAATAAAGAGTGACTATTGTGATATTAATATGCCATATAACGGGATTCATTAATTAATTATAGCCCATTTCGTATGGAAGCAAGGGTTCAAAATCCAATAATACACCAATTAATACTTAATGTGCACCAAAGTGCTCATTAACAGTGATTATCTGGCAAATTGTAATAAATTTTGTTACTGAAAATATAATTTTAATAAAATTATATATTTTTTTTATATACAGGGGTTAGCAACTTTTTAGAATGTAATGTATTAGAAATAAGTTGTAATAGTAATGGCTTTGATTATATATACTCAAAGATAATGGGTATTAGTAGGTATTAGTAATGAAGTAATTAGTAAGTGAACGAACTAGTTTTTATACTTTAATTAAAATATTTTAGCGTATTCTTTTGGGTGCATTTCACCACAATTTTATAATCGTACACCAATAGAATGGGCTATTAGAAAAAGACAAGTCAGCCGTCGAATTCTTAAACGGCTTTAGGACCCCCAATTTTGTATGCACCCTTTACCACCCCCTTGTAGGCCTGTAGTGCCCACAAGAGGGCGTTATCGCCCACTTTGAGAAAGACTGTTCTATCATATGCACCTAATAGAAAGTTTGTGTTTTCTCAACCAGTGTGAAGTTACCCATAAATTCCATCCATAAAAAAAACTTTTTTATTTGTGTATAGATTTCAATGATTAATAGCTCATTAGAAAGATCTCGTAGAGTAGAGCCTAACATAGTTTTGGCGGCGCAGATTTTGGGCGGGAACACCTTAAATTCTGCGAAAAACAGTAAAATATATAGAAAAATTCTCTAACTTTAGAGTCCCAAAAATTGAAAACTAATTAACATAATATCAGGTATGATTACCAAATCAGAATGCATATACTGTCTTCTACACAAAAGTGAATTTTGGTTGTCGCTAAATCATATGGGTAATTACAAAAGTGTAACAAAACACGAACCTATTTCCAGACGTACGTAGCGCCAAGCGGTTCTTTGAAAAACAAAATCATATCCATAAGTATAACTTTTTTGCTAATTCTCCGATTTTAATGTGTGATACCTTTTTGGAAAGGGCTCATCCTGTAGATCATGTCATAGTAATGGCGGCGCGAAATTCTAACAATAACGGTAATTAAATGAGTAAAAACGCTATAAACAATCATACCCATAAATATAACTTTTTTGCTAATTGTCCGATTTTAATGTGTGATACCTTTCTGGAAAGGGCTCGTCCTGTAGATCATATCATAGTAATGGCGGCGCAAAATTCTAACAATAACGGTATTTAAACAATTAAAAAGGTTATAAACAATCATATCCATAAATATAACATTTTTGTTAATTGTCTGTAACTAACTAATAACTAATAAATATTACTAATAAATATAACTTAATACGAGGTGTGTAATAAACGCAAAGTCAAATAAAGTGCCAGAAGAGAGTGAGCGAAACGCTTACGGAACAACAGAAAAGTTGTTAAGAACGTGATGAATCCAAAAATTAAACACAAATTAAAACAAAATTTGACAATCAGCCAGAAAAGTCATTCTTTTATTACCAACAACTTTATTGCCACTTAAATTGTCGAAAGACTATGTAGTAGCCGTGTTCAATAAAGGAAAGCTATACTACAGCAGTTTTCAAACGCTTTTACAGCATAAAAATATCTCTGATATGTACTTAGATAATTTTGTAATAGAATAATATTCTGCAATATTATGTTCAAAGGCATTGGGCGTCAATGTTACAAACTTAATCACTCATACAATAACATATATGGATCCATTAACATATACAGTTCACAGTATGAAAATACGAGCTTTAACTACAGCCGGGAACATTTAAAACAAATTTCGAAAATTAGATTATCCTTTACAAGCAGATTGATACAGTTGTGGAGTTCTTATCTGTATATTATTAAGTAAACCAGTTAAATCATTCAATGCAGATTCACACCGAAACATCATTATTGAAACTTTATTAAAAAAACTCCAACTCATTAAAGGAAAAATGTCTCTATTTCGCTGAAGAGGTTCATAATGAATTCAAATGCAAGTAATGCTCGTAGGTGGCCCATGATACCTGCAAAAGTAGTTTGGACGAACTGTGTGAATTTTGTAGACACCGACCTTAAACTGTAATGGGGCCGTTACACATTCTTTCTTTTTTATTGGCTTATTCGATAGTTTAGCAAAATTGAAGACTTCTATTAATTTTTTACTTTTCAAACTGGGTCTTACTTTTTCAAAAAAAAAATCGTAAACCTCGTAAACGACACCAATCCAATGAACCAATGA